TTGAATTTTTCCCCTCTCCAACATGCCCTGACTCTCAAGGCAGCTGCACCATGCCTAGCATCCTCAGGTGAGGATGTCAAGAACCTTAATGTAGTCTAGTAATGTTTTCTGTCTGCATCAGATTAAATTGATGGAATGGTCAGTGGTAACTATTATATGACCCTATGCAATTTTTAAAAAGAGTATTGGGAAATATACATGAAAAATTTAAGTGAAAATTTTATCTTTAGTTCTGAGTCCACACATTACATATTTGTAGTTAAACATGGGCCTTTGTCTCTTATTTTCTTTCCAGCTTGCCTACATGTAGCCTGTGTTGTACAGCAGAAAGATGCCAGACAGTGGTTTGCTGAGCTTTCTGTGGATATGGAGAAGGTATTCTTTAAATTCCCTTAGTGGAATATAGACTTGAACATTTAAAAGTTAATGTCATATTTACTTATCATGAGCCTAAAATCTTACAGTGTCTACCAGGAAAACTTCTATCTTTTCTGCTGAGATGTTGATAGCATTAAAATTAATCCAATGTGTTAGGTCTACTCAGATGAGGAAGAAAGGGCTAATTTGGAAACTGGATATGACAGATTTGTAGCTGCCAGTTTTTTTGCACCTTACCTCGTTTACAGTAGTTAACAGAATCAAAATGTCTTTTGTGCACTACCACCCAATAAATTGGAGCAATTGGCACACTGTATAGTGGTAAACTTCATGACTGAGACCTCTGTTCCCAGTACCTCACTGTTTTGTTTTGGTTTAGACATCAGCAGATAGAAGGAAACCAGCTGCAGAGAGATGGACAGGGCATACATGTTAGTAGATGAGGGGCTGGAAGGAGCAGCCTGAGTAGCAGTGTGGCAGAGATAACTACTTTCACATCTGTCAGGACTGTCTAGCCTGAATTCTTAAGGACAGAGACTCTTGACTATTTCCTAAGGGGTGCCTAGTAAGTGGTGTGTATTCTTTATGTACTCATTGCTGCCTGATATTACCACTGAGAGCATTTCAAATATTTTCTTCTAGATTTTGGAAATAATCAGGGTTATTTTAAAACTATATGAACAGTGGAAGAATTTTGATGAGAGAAAAGAGATGGCAACTATTCTTAGTAAGATGCCAAAACCCAAACCTCCTCCAAACAGGTACTTTGTAAACTTTAATTATAGATTCCATTTAATTACATATTTCATACTCATTATTGCATTTTTCATAGATTACATTGTTTTTTCCCTTAAAATTTCTTATTTCTGACTTGATAGATTGAGAATGTCTCATTTAAAAATTTTAATTGGATCATCTGTTTAGTAAATTTTCCTAATGCAATGGCAGGTCTATTACAGGTATCCCTCAACATATGGCTATATACTATACATAAATTTAAACAGGACAGAATTAGGCCAGTTTATCGGAAATTCAGAGATAAAGAATTCTGTAGTATTCCCACGTCAGTTTGATTCTGTGCCATCTTCTACCCCCCCCCCACTACTGGCTATTAGCCTGTTTTATAAATTAGATTATTGATCTGATATTGTAAAGATAAAGAATTTTGGCTTCTGAGTCACCCAAATGGCACCCAGTAACATAATTTTGCTAAATATGAATCACTTGTGCTAAGGGGGTTTTTGATGTTATTTTTAAAAGGGTCTGTTCATTTAGTTTAGTGGTTCTTAGCTTTCACTGTACATCATATCATTTGGGGTAAGGAAAAAAGGTCAGAAGGGAAGTAAAGAAATATTGCCCATTTTAATTAACTTTTACTTAAGTTATAAAACACTGAGATAGATTTGTAGATGTGATAAATTACTGTCACTGTTGGGAAAAAATACTTATACAAGGAGCTGTTTTAAGGCAGTCATTCAAACAGCTACCTTTGAATGCATTTTTTGCAGAAATTCCCTGAGTGATTCTCCAGTAGTGGCAGGGCCTGAAGCTGCAAGATGATGATGGACGAGATAAGGCAATAATCCTATTGCCACAGATACTGGTATTTTCAGTTTTAGTTGTTTTTATTTTGAATATTCAGTATTTTCCAGGAAATTACCATATTTCTGATTTATAAAGGTTTGCTGTGTTTACATATGATTTTAGTATGCCTTTGGGCAGTATTTTTTTTTGGAAGATACTACTTGATTTTCATAGTTGGTTAGTAGGAATAAGGTTTTATACATAAGATTTAATTTCATAGGAAATTTGTTCAGAGGCTCTAATCTATATGTTGAGTGATACCTGTAATGACAGTAAAATCCCCTACCCTAATTTAAATGTTTTGAGTGTATATGGACACTAACTTCCAGAATGCTTGTTATGTGTGAAAACACTAAGTTACGTAAGAATAAAAATATAAATCCAAATGTTAGTCTTCTGGATTTTAATTTTTCCACATCTGTGTCTTACAGTTGGGAATGTCTTTGTTTTGTAAGTTTGTATCACAGAATAACTAACTTTAAAAATTAGTAGGCTTATCAAGGTGTTGAAAATGAATCTTTTAATTGGTACAAAATCTCTTCTTTCCCCACTTGAACAGTGAAGGAGAGCAGGGTCCAAATGGAAGTCAGAATTCTAGCTACAGCCAATCTTAAAACATTCCGAAGAATTCCGTAGTGGACCAGTTGGAAATAAACCATTGGACAGATTTCAGTAATGTCTTCAATGGAACACAAATGAACATGAATAGCTTGTTTCTGTCAAGCATATTGGGAAGTAATTTTATTTTTGCAAAATAAGTTTTTCCTTACCTAATTTGATTCTAGTAACATAATTGATTAAAGGCTCTTGATTATAAAAGTTTGGAAAGGTTCTAAGGGAACCTACAGACAGACATTTCAAAATTAATAGCTTTTGTTTAGTTTAATTTTTCTTAATTTGGATAATAGTAATTGTAGTTTTCTGTTAAGCCAGGAAACATGAAGCTTAATTTGTTTAAAATTCTCTTTGGTCATTGAAGGACCAAAAAAGGACATAAAAAGTGAAATATATGAGTGTTTTCCCCCTCCTTAAGTTAAAATTTAAAACTGTATTTAAGGAATCAAATCTTACAAAATCCTGGAAGATTTTGGTAATGATGTTGATAATTTCAGGGAAATTAACCAAGTACCTATTGATTTTAAAGTGTATTTTATTCAGTAGTTTTAGTGTCTTGCCATTGAAGATACTAGCCCAGCCTAGCAGAAAAGTGCAATATGTATAGCATACTTTGACATTTTTAAAGTTATATTAATTCTGTAACCATTTTGAAATGCTGGGCAAACTTTTTAAAAAACCTACATGAAATTACTTGCATTTGATTCACAGTTAAATCAGGCATTTAGAAAGCTAATTGCATAAAACATAATATGGTTGAAATTTGGTAACATTTTAATGTTAATTTTTACTCTACTGTGAAAAGTTTTTTATATGACATACACACTCTAGTTTATTTTTGTGTCTTAGTGTGGATTTACAAATTTATTACAGGTATCCTGAGCCAGGAACACAATCAGGTTGCAGGCCAGTTTGATACTGGCTCTTCTTAATTCTCACACGAGCGTAGGACTTAATACTAAATGTTATGTCAGTGGGACTGTGCTGTCTGTGGAACTTAATAAGTTAATCATTTTCTTCAGACTTGAAGGAGAGTGATAAATAAAATTTGGAGTCATAGGATATTGATGTACAATTTAAGGATTAAAAGTTTTTTATAAATCAAATGTGAACAATGAATTATGAAATTAAATGTTGATTTCCTAGTATAAAATTGCAAGAATAAAAGTACGTTCTCCAGCGATATTGGCCAGTGTCTTGAATATTTATCTTTTTAAATCTGCATTATGATGTTTTCTGAGAGTCCTTTTTCCTTTAGACAGATATTAAAGGCTTCTGTAGTTTGTCAAGTGTGTAATTTCCAAAGGTTTAAAAGCAGAGTTCTGCTTCCTTGTGGGGAGTAGCAGAGAATCTGGAAAGGAGAGATTGTGTTTATTCAGTACCAATGACAAATACAGGTCTTCTAGGCTCATGGGCAGGATAAGAAATAAGAAGAAAAGCTTTTCTCAGGTCTGAAGGAATTAAGATTTAGCTTGGGTTGGAAGAGCAGTGTGATTATATATCATAATCATTGACTTAACCAGGTGGGTCCAAAGAGTCACGGATGGAAGAAAGCACAAATTTGTTTTACTACCAGTACACTAATGCACTAACCAGTGTAAGACATTCCAAAGGAATATACTCATGCTAGTGGTTAAGCTTTTATATATATTTTTTATTTTTCCCCCCCACTACTGGCTGTTAAATTACAGAAAAAAAATGTATATTTTTAAGTGTCCACTTCAATGAATTTTGATAATGTATGTACCAACACATCAAGATACAAGGTATTTCTATCAACCTAGAAATTTTCCTCCTTGCCTTTCCAGTAATTTCCTTCCTTCAACAGAAGCAACCACTGTTCAGATTTTGATTCCTATCACTACCATGCTGGTCACAACACTGCCATAAGTCTTTGGTTGCTGTTAACGTATTTTCATTGTTTATTATTTTACCTACTTACAAGGATACCAGATTCTTGGTGTTTTAAGGTCAAGTCTATTAATCTGGTCTAACTCATAGCCTCTGATGAATAGAAGGCATACTAACACAAATACTCGTGTGTTATGACTAGGAAATACAAGTAGCAACTTGGTCTTTTATACTATTGAACTTGACTAAACTATTTAAAAATTAATTCCTGGAATCCCTTATATTTCCATGGCAAATCACTTCAGTAGCCTTTGCATGTAGGCAGGGGGAAGTGGTATCCTCTCTCTTTTTTTGTAGGGAGAGAGAGAGCAAAACATTGATTTGTTGTTCCACTTATTTATGCATTCATTGGTTGATTCTTGTATGTGCCATGGCTGGGGATCGAACCCACAACCTTGGCATATCGGATGACGCACTAACCAGCCGAGTTACCTGGCTGGGTAACAATTTGCAGTTGAGAAAAAGATTCAACAAATAATTGACTTCTACAAAATCCCCTTCCCATTAGCCAGTGGTGCCAGAGCTAGATTTTTATTCTTTCGCTCATTCCGCTGTGCTAGGCTGCATATACACAAGGAAAGAGCCAGCTCGTATTCCAAAATTCAGTTTCCTGGTTTCTTCTCTGGATGTTCGTAGCTTGCCCATTCCTTCCATCCTCCAGCATAGTGTTGAGCACTGAAAACGTACATCAAACAATGCCGTGAACATTTTCTCCTGCTTTGTAACACGAGGTTGAAAGAAACTTAAAGAACTTGAGAGATTTAGCGATGCAGTAACTATTCACCATACTGTTTAGACTTCAAGCCTATTTAAAAGATGTGTTACTTTTGAGTACTATAAAAAGATAGAGGCTCTTACTCTCGCTACACTGCCATTACAGTATACGAAATTCAATAGACCAATAAAAGTGTAACGCATATGAAACATTACAGTATTCATTTTGAATCCATTTTTATCCTTCGCATCTATGTATACCTGTTAAAGCCCAGAGACAGTGCTTTGCTGAGAGCCTTCTTGCTTCTCACTCCAGCTGAACAAGAAAACACTAGACTGTCAGATTTGGATGGCTTTACTTCGTCGTACTTCTCTTTGAAGTCTTCTGGGTTCATCTGTAGAGCTTCACCTACCTCACCCACTGAAAGAAAATGTTAAGAATCTCAATTAAATTTTACCTACAGTAAGTTGGCTGAATATATATTTTTTGTAATGAATTGGTTTAAGGTACATGTCACTTACATGGTATATTGACAGATCTGGGGATTTTTCCATGCTCACGAACTTCCCATGTCTCTCTAACATCAATTAACATAATTTTTTTGGAATTCAAGAGGTTTTTCAGTTCCTTATAAGTAACAGCTTTAAGAACAGCAGTACAAAAATTGTGACAGTTTTCTTTTACTGAGTTCAAACCTGGAAAGAATAAAATAATACAGGCACCTTCAAAGTGGTATTACCATTAATAGCTGCAGAGAGAAAGCTGAAGGAATTTTCCCCCTGGTTCCAGTCAGCTAACTATACTTGATCTTTTGACTTTACTAAACTGTATTCCATGATATATTTTGCGCACAGCCTGGCTGAGCAGGAGGATGCCACCCTATCATCTTTCCCTGCCTGCTTATTGGCTGGCCTTATGCCAGCTCCATATTCTGCTCCCTCCAAGCCCCTTCATTGGGGTGGGGGTGAGGGACTTGTAAATACACATAAAGCATTTGGCAACTGAATTGTGCAAATAATATGTAAGTTTATCTCTGTTAAATAATTGGTAACATGGTAATGGGTAAATAACTCATAAAACAAATGCACAGGTCCATACTGATATAAGGATATAATAAATAAGTGGGGAGAAGGGATTGTTTCAATTGATAAATATAGAAGGAATGATGGAAACAAAGCCCTCATTAGATAAACACCCAGTAATAATTGTTGCAGCAAGAACCACTGATAGATGCTAGAGTTAGAGCATAAAGGTATGAAAAATGGGATAGTATCTCCCCAGGAGATACTAATTACAAAGTGATACCTGAAAGGTACCACTAACCAATTATTCAAATGTCACTAATAATAAGACATGTTGGCAACATATACCCCAGTGCGATGCAATGAGAAGAGCACAACACTTCCTTAGGATTCTTGCTAAAAATGCATTCCCTGAATCAAGAGTATCTCAAAGCAATCTATAGAATAGCCAGCCAGCACTCTTACATGTCACAGTCGTGGAACACAAGGACTATGGAGCTGTCACAGGTTGAAGCAGACAAGGGAGCCATAACTACTTAATACAATATTGGATCTGGGACTATAAAAGGCATCAGTGAGAAAACTGGTAGAATTTAAGTGAGGTGTGTGGATTAGTTAACAGTATTATATCAATATTAATTTCCTGATTTCAATAATTGTACCAGATGTTTACCTTAGGGGAAGTTGGGTAAGAATAAAGCTCCACTTTTGTGACTTACCTATAGGTCCAAAATTACACTTTAAAAAGTGAAAAAAAACCACATTTTAATTAAAAGCAAAAAAAAAAAAAAATTAATGTTCATATTTCACAACAAAATGACCACTATAAGAAAGGTAAATAATGCTTCCCAGGGGATCTGATGACCTTGAACTGTAGAACCAGATTGACGCACACCAGACCATCACTTGACCAGTTTCAAGATCCTTATCAGAATGAACTGCTGGCCTGCAGGTAGAGAACTTTTCAACCCCCTCCCCTTGATTTTTTTTTAAATCCTCACCTGAGGATATTTTTTCCATTGCTTTTCAGAGATAGTGGAAGGGGGGAGAGAGAGAGAGAAACATGGATGTGAGAGAAACACATCCATTGGCTGAAGTGGATGGGGAAACCTCTATTTTAATTTTTTTAATTTACTGTTGTAATAACATATATATGTATATATATATATATATATATATATATATATATATATACACCCCATACAATTTACCATTTTGACTATTCAGTGTGCAGGTCAGTGGCATAGTTGCTGTTAGTGATAGCAGTAGAGTGAGAGACACCCATTGGCTGCGTCCCGCATGCACTCGACCCTGCCAGAACCGAGCCTGCAACCGAGGCAGTTCCTCGCCAGAATGCAGCCCAGGACCCTGCAGTCCGCAGGCCCCCCTCTAGCCGCTGAGCCGAACCCGCCAGGGCCGCCTCACTTCTTTGTTCTGCTTTGCTCCTCCCTCCTTATAAAAACACCTGCCTGCACTGAGATGTTGAGGTCTGCTTTGTGACCAGAGTCCCCCATCTCAGGTGACCGGCACTTGAATAAAACCTCTCCTTTCGCACCAGCAAAAAAAAAAAGGGGGGGGGGAGCATGTAAACCAAAGAGAAGGGACGGGAGGCTTGCTCTGAGTTCTAGACCGAACTACCTTTGCTCTCTGTCTTCTCTTACCCCATCTGTAAAACTCAAGACAGTACTTTTTAAAATAGCTCTAACGTGCTGTAATTCGAGGTGGATCCCAAGTGGACCTCGCAAGTCCGGGCTCCTCACTGCGACTCTGCCGGGCAGGAGCTGGCCGTCTGGCTCGCTTCCCCGGGTCGCGAGTTGACCTTTCTTGCTCAGTCGAGCACAATATCTTTATATTTGCCTTCCCACGCGAGCTCCCAGGAGCAATGTTTACTCCGCTCCCTGCGTCCCCCAGAGCAGCCCCAGCCCCCAGTAACCCACGGGTGCGGAGAACGCGCCTGACAACTGAAAGTCTAAAGAAGCGAGAGCTCCCACCCCTGCCCTTCCCTGCCCTTCCCTGGGGCCCGAGGGTAGGCGCTCTTCCCTCCCCACCGACCCCGCAGCTCACCCCACAGCGCAGCCTCCGCGGGCCCGAAGACCGCGCGGCGCGCACTCGGGAGCAGCAACCTCTGCAGCTGCATCTTCGGCTCGCGCCGGCCGACTGCTGACCACTTCCTCCTGCTCCTCCTGCTCCTCCTGCTCCTCCTTTTCTGGGATCAGCAGTCTTGGGTGAAATCAAGCTCTACAGCGGAACCCTGAATAGTCCACAGTGTACCTGAGTCAGCTGGCAGAAATGAGTATAGGGACAATTCTTCTTGACCCCAGGCCCACTGTCTGCCCTTGTCCCCACTCCCACCAGCCTACAGACTCACAACTTCTCTCATCTATTCTAATGCATCTGTATGCTGTCTTCTCTCACTCTTTCATTGCTTCAAGTGAGACTTGTTTTCACACCTGCATTTTATTAAAAAGTGAAGGAAAGGAAAGGTAATTTAGTAAAAATTACCTCATTTCAGGGTAAGGTGCTGAGCACGGACTGAGGTAGTTTCAGGAGCAAAGCTGAGTACACTCCTCATTAAAGCCACATTTTCTATAATCCACATTTGCAGGAACCTACAGCGTATTTTAAAATATTACAATAAACACACACATATTTTAAGTTATCTAGGAAAATTCTACATCCTCAAGAGGAAGCAAAAGAGAAACTGTTGACTTCTCTCTCTTTCTGTCATGTATGATTATTTTCCAGTCTAGGGTGTCCCAGTCCCAGCCCAACAGTGAGAAGAGGAAGAAAATGGCATGTTAGAAAACAATTTTATGGATTTATAGATTTTCACCAATTTATGGAGTTCGTTATGTATTCCCTTGCTGACCCTTCTTCTCATCACCATCAAGGAGCACAAACACACCTTTCATTTGCAACGGTCCACCACCTAGCAAAAGCCCTGAGTGAAGACCGGAGAGTGTGCAGCGAGGGCAGAGCCAGCAGGGTGCCCTCCTCCCAAAGTTGAGGATGACTTGAGAGGCTGTGCCAGAGCACCTCCTAAATCTGCTGAGGGGATTTTCACTCATTTTGTGGAATACAATAGAAAATGAGGACAGAAGCACTAGCTTCAGAGATAGGAGAGCCTACCAAGCTTTCGTGAGATTTGACCAGCTGTGCCTCTGGATTCCCTGACATCTAGCTATTGTGGTTCCAGTTTTACAGATAGAGGAATTGAGAAGGCACCTTGCCCCCAGGCTCTGAAGGTGAGAATCTCTGGCTCCCATTCTAAGTTCTGTGNGGTACTGCCCCAGGCGTAATCGCTGACCAACACGTGCCCAGCTTTACCATTTAAAATCCCCGTCTTTGGAAAGAATCCAAGGGGTGGCGTGCTTTTATTTATTTTAACATAGGGTCTTCTTTTTCTTATTATTTATTTTAGAGAGAAGAAGGAGGGAGAGAGAGAGAACCATGGATCGGTTGCCTCCCGTGGGGAACTGAATCCCCCAATCTGGTCGTGTGCCCTGACGGGTAAATGAACCCAAAAATCAACCCCCACATTTCGGGTATACCGGACAACGCTCTGACGACTGAACCACACCCGCCACGGCGTCTTGCTTTTTTGTTTTTAATTTTAATTTTTTAATTATTTTTAAGGAGCGACAAAGTTTAAAAGTAGAAAGTAAGAAATATACTAAAGATAATATTTAAAGATTTAAAGTAAATACATTTCTCCAATTTGCTTTATAACAGGATTCTAATACGTTGGATTCAAGCAAACTAAACGGGTGTTTTTTTCAGAATTGCTCTTAACTCCAATAGTTCAACCGATGTATTAAGATAATCTCATGCTACCCAATAGTGTGGCTCAGTGGTTGAGGTTGACCATGAACCAGGAGGTCACGTTCAGCTCCGTGGTCAGGGCACATGGCCAGGATTCGGGCTCAGTCCCGAGTAGGAGGCGTGCAGGAGGCCGCCGATGGATGATTCTCTCTCATCATTGCCGTCTCTCTCTCTCCCTCTCCCTTCCTCTCTCTGAAATCAATAAAAACATTTTTCTTAAAAAGATAATCTCATGCTATAATCTTTCCCCCACAACTTGATATTTGATTATATTTGACAATAATTTTGTCAGGGTTAGGTGCAACTATTTTAAAAAATAAGTTAGTTTCCCAAATTTAAAGGAAAATATTACAGGCATTAGCGATCAAGCCAGAAAGAAATGGGCTGGGATAGGAGGAAGAATGGGAGGAATAAGGTCTTCCCCCCACAGTGACAGCCGGAAGATTCGTCCAAGTGTATGTAGATGTTAAACTCAATGCCGGCCTTTCACGGAAGTTAAACATGGGACCACTTGGATAATCCAGGATAATTTCCCATCTCAAGATTTTTTTTTTTTAGAGGAAAGGGGTAGGGGGGTAGGGTGGGAAAAGATTAACCAAGAAATTTATATGCATATATGCATAACCAATGGACACAGACAATAGTGTGGTGAGGGCCTGGCGGGTGGGTGAGGGGTGACGGGGGTCAATGGGGAAAAATTGGGAGACATCTGTAATACTTTCAACAACAAAGATAAATTTTTTAAAAGATTATTAATTTAATCATGTCTGCAATGCAAAGTCATATCTGCAGGTTTCAGGAATTAGAACACCTTTGGGGGGAGCATTATTCATCCTACGGCATAAAGTTTCTTATCGCCTTTTAAAAAATTGATTCTCAACTCTGGTTTCCAAGCATAATGAAAGATATGTTTAACTGTAAATTCATTCACAGTGAGAAATTTAAAATTTACTTTCTAAATGACATTATTAAAATATGTGTCCAAGGAATAATTTCATTAAGCATGTACTTTTAAATTGTTCAGTTTTCAATAATTTAATAATTAATAAAAACACTTCAGATTTTTATACCAATAACAACACTTACAATTATGTTTTTCCAAATCATTTGGAGCTTAATCATAGTCTCTGTGTAATTTATTTTGTGGATTAACTTTGAACCAAGATGTCATTATATACTGCAGATTCATGTACTCTCCATTGCATCCCTAAGCTGTCTTGAATATGCATTATAAACAACAGGTTGTATGGACACAGACTTGGCAACAATGTACATGGCCTCCATGAATCACATTTAATGATTTATGCTTTGGCAAGAGCACCTGTTACTAAACAATTTCCCCCCAATGTTCATGACTAATTATTTGAGAAATATATTTCTGTAAGATTTTTTTTTTTTTCTGAAAAGGTGAATATGTCCTCTGGTACCTAGCACAGTGCCAAACTTGTATTATTTGAGTCATTAGAGCAAAAAGATCTTGTCAAAAGAGGTTGCTCCTCAGACAAGTGCCCAAGTTCTTCCTTCAGAGAGAGTCAGCAAGGCTTAAAGTGGGATGAAAGGGAAAGAAATCACTTAACTTTCTGGAAGAGGACTACTAATGCTAAATTGATATGAATCATTAATTTTCAAACAACTCTTTGTTTCTTCTTCTCCCCCTCCCCTCCTCCCCTCCCCCT